CTCTTCTCTCTCTACCCCCTCTACTGTAATTCATTTCTCCCCCTTGTATTATTTTTCCCTTTCCCTATTTAGTTTCCATTCCTCTTACACAGGCACTCAAGCATTTCTCCCTCTTATAAGTATTCCTTGATTCTCCAAACCCCCTTCTGAGCTAGGCTGAGTTGTGCAACATTTTTATGTCCTGATAATATGTGATAATATGTTTTGTATACCTCTTGCAGTACTTTTCACACTATATTATAACCTAATATTTTTAAATCTTTTTCCCCATTAACTAGGCATTACTTGAGGGTCTAGTTTGTCTTAAATTGTCTTGTTTTGAACATCTCACATAGTAGTAAGCACTCAATACATTATTCATTAAATAAATTGAATGTGCAAAGAATACTTTTAAAAGAACCATGTCTTTTTTTCCTTGTGATGTCTTTTTCTTCATATACACTGATTTTTCTGCCACCTCACAGCTCTTGTGGTAGGGACCTCTCCTCTGTATTTGAAACCAACCAGTGTCTGACAGATTTGGAGTTTGTAAAAAATACCCTGGAAGATTCAGGAATGAAGCTTCTGTGTGAAGGATTGAAACAGCCAAATTGTACATTACAGACATTGAGGTAACTGGTAGCAGGATAATATGTTGTTTGTGTGCATTCCATTTTTTGGTCACTTTCTATTTGGGGGCAGGGTGAGAGCATAAATTAGCTACTTTTCTGTTCTCTAAAGGTTTTTTTTTTAAAAAAATATTTATTTATTTTTTAGTTGTAGTTGGACACAATACCTTTATTTTATTCATTCATTTTTATGTGGTGCTGAGGATCGAACCCAAGGCATTGCACATGCAAGGCAAGCACTCTACCGCTGAGCCACAACCTCAGCCCTCTCTAAAGGTTTTACCACCCATGCCTTATCTCTCCTGCATCTTGTGGGTCACTTGCTGCTGTTCTTAGCACCAGTCAGTGGCTAACTGAGCTGGAATTTAGTGAAACAAAGCTGGAAGCTTCAGCTTTGAAATTGCTCTGTGAAGGCTTAAAAGATCCAGGTTGCAAATTACAGAAGCTCAAGTAAGTTGCAATTGTTAGTTGCTATTCTGCAGGAATATTTAAAAAAATACACAATTCAAGATGGGTGTGGTGTTAAAAAGCACATTTCAAAGAGTTATGGAAAACAAGAAAAAGAGTGGCAATCCCTGAACTTGTCCTGTGTAACAAGTTTGGAAAAAATATTTTTTATTCTAAATGGCATATAATCAATGTCAATATTAACTCATTGAGTACTTATTGAGTTCTTTATAATAAGCACTGTGCTCAGTGCTTTGTATAATGATTTCCTTTAATCTGCGTACAGCTCTAAGAGGTTCAGATTATTGTACCCATTTTAGCAGAGGAGGAAGTGGAAGCCCAACATCATTAGGCTAAACAACATGGCAAGGGCAGAATTCAAAACCCAGATTTATATGAATTCACAGTCCATTGTATTCACCTTAATTAAATATTTGTCATCACATATGTATTAGTTAGGGTTTGACAGAGAAACAGATGGATAGGATGTTTGTGTGCATGTATGCATATACACACACCCACACATGTGACTGTGTAGAGATTAATTTTAAAAGATTGGCTCATGTGATTATGGAGATTGGCAAATCTGAAATCTGCAGGGGAGGCTGGCAGACTGGAAACCCAGGGAAGAGCCCATGTTACAGTTAAGTCCAAAGGCTGTTTGTTGACAGAATTTCTTCTGAGGAGAAGGTCAGTATTTTTCCATTATCTTTCAACTGATTAGACATGTTTCTCCCACATACATTTTTCAAAGTCTACTGATTAAGATACTGATCGCATCTTAAAAGTACCTTCACAGAAACATCTAGAACAATGTTTGACCAAATATCTGGGTACCACGGACTAGCCAACTTGACACATAAAAGTAACTCACAATATATATGTGGGATTTTAAAAAATGTTGGCAGCACTGGGGATTGAACCCAAGGGTGTCTTACCATAGAGCTACATACTCAGCCCCCTTTTTAAATTTATTTTTTATTTTTGTTTTTTAAAATTTTTTTAGTTGTTGATTGACCTTTATTTATTTACTTATATGTGGTGCTGAGTATCGAACCCAGTGCCTCACATGTGCTAGGCAAGCACTCTACCGCTGAGCCACAACCCTAGCCCCCCTTTTTAATTTTGAGACAGGGTCTTATTGTTGAGGATCTCAGTGAGTTGCTGAGGATGGCTTCAAACTTGAGATCCTCCTGCCGCAGCCTCCCAAGTAGCTGGGTTTGCAGGCATGTGCCACTGTTCCAGC